ACAAGATTCCTTTGGCTGCAATTTAATCAAATGAGCGAATGAATTTCATTATGCACTGTCGTCGATGACGAGTAGATCAAACCCATTCCGTGACATAAAGTCGTAATTTTATGAATAAAATAAACGTTTTTTTCCTTGGTACTGAAGAGCTGATGAGGTATCTCACGGCGAAACATCGAATGTCTACCAATAAGTATCACAGTGTTTCATGTAAGTGAAATGTCACCTCTTTCATTTAGTATACTGTGTAGGAATCCTGAGAATTATATCTGATTCAATTCCAAAACGTATGTTTTGAATACAAACTGCATGATCTGCACATCTATGCATGCCAAAAACTTTCTTTCCCAATTTTTTTTTCATAACATTCAATTCGTAGGCAAAATTTGTAAATACAACAAGTTACTGACCCTTTAGTGATAACGCAGTCACTTTTTGAGGTGAACTATGTTAAGTCTGCCCTTCAATTCACTTTAACAGATTCTCTATAGATTTACCTTTGTTTATTTTTCAGATTGTGGAAGGTCGGACCACCCAAAAAAACAAAAAAAAAACGTAATTCCACCATTTCGAAGATAATCACACCCAATTTTATTATGATACTATTTTTGAAAAGGAAGTTTAACAGGTGCCATGAAAGTTTTGTTAAAATTGCAGATTTCTTCAAAATAAGCGAAGAACCATGAAATAATGGTTTTAAATATAATCCCTATATTTTCTGATGCTCCAGTTGTGAAGATAAGCATACGGGTTAATTACTAATGATTGTCATAACAAATTTCGTGGCGTGTAAAAAAACAACCAATATTAACCAAGTGACCAATAATAGTTATAATACATGTTCCACTCATATCGAGTAGATGAGAGCTTTGAGGGTTTGCAAGTCTATCGAGGGTATACACTTTTGGTAATACCTGCATTGCATACAAACATTTGTCATACTAGTTCGTTTTTGCATTCACAATATACAGTGCGAACGTGAATAGGATATCATTTTTAAAACTTTTTAATAAGAAAGGCGATAGTGTTGCATCTACAACTTATTCAATAGAAGAGGGTCTTGTAATGTTTTTTTAAACAATTATTTCAATTATCTATCCAGTACTCTTTTATTTTTGTAGGTTGAATCAGCCGGTCTTGAGATATCAGGTCCTTGAAAATATGAAACTTTTAATTATAGCGGCCTCTCAACGACAAGCTATGCAACACTATGGTCTTTCTCATCAAAAATGACTGAAAATGACACTTTTTTACGAAGATACATATGTTGTAGAAACAAATGTTATTGCGAAAAGATGGAAAGAGCAACACAAAACTTGCCGTCGAAAAACTTGCCGTTAACAGAGGATATGAGAATACAATGAACTGCAGATAATTTATTGGTGAAATTGTGCTGCTTGGATACTTTGGAGATCTTGCCGAAACATTCTCCTCGAATTCATTATATTATAAACATTCATTATATTATAAACATTCATCGCTAATTATTATGAGTTGAGCCAACATCCAAAGTTCTTAATTATGAATGGACTGACCTTTTACTTGATGACAATTAATATCACTAAGCATGATAATAATTACATACAAAATAAATAAATACTTTTCACAATCATTTTTATTTATAGACGCGTTTCGATAACATCGTACCTCTACCGGTAGAAAAGGAATCTACCGAGGATTTCAAAGTTCTGTCTAAATATGTTTCAAAATCGTTTCATGAGGCATAAAATCAGCCGTTTTCAAAAACACACATTTATTGTTAATGAATCGAAAAGGTTTTTTGTATTAAAGTGTATAATTTTTGAAATTCTTGCGAAGTGCGTTCGACTTTCGTCATCATCAGTGCTCACCTGAAAGTAAGTGATCTAATTGAAAAGGAAGTTTAGTGAAAATTGAAGTTGAAAAATATTTTTAATCTTCAAGGTTAAGGAATTTGAAAAAAATTGTTTAAGATTACTTACTTGTCAGGCAACAGAAAGTATCAAAATAAGTACATGGCACATTTGTAATATTTGACTTATATAAAACAAAATAGGCTTATAGCCAAGAAAATACATTTTAGGATTGGGGCCATGTCAGAATGTCATCGTTATTTCATCCAGGTTTGGAGACCAGCTCCCCTACCCTTTTGGCTGATTGTTGGTCTTGAGAGGGACCAATGGGTTCATGACTGAATTGGTGACGGTATGAAGTCCTTAGACATCAGTGCCGCCCTTCACGGGATACCCCTACCTGGCTGGGGTGGGATGGATGAAAAAGTTATTCATCCGTTAACGGGGGACATGAGGAGGAGTGAGGCCATGTGATTCAGTCAAAGTATTATATGAAGAAGGACAACTTGAAACAGGATGTGTCAAGTGTCATGTTAAAATAATGGTACCAACTTGAGAAGTGATCCATTATGGATTTAAAATTAATTATGTAGAAAAAAAGTCAATATTGAATACAATGTTTTAGTAATAAATTTGATTAATTAAAAATTCTTAATCCTTTTATGAAGGGAAAGGAAATCTGTTTGAGTTTACTTGAGTATTCAAACAATGATCATTATTGGAAAGTTCTTTAGAAATCTCCAACTCTAGGCAGAGTTGGCAAAAGAGGTAGAGGTAGCTGCATTCTCTGTGGCGGCTTCTCACTCTGAATATGGCTGTATTGGCTCTGCTGGTCCAGCGCAGGAGGCTTCAGAGACTGGATAAAGTAATTCCTGGCTGTCGTCGATGATCGAGGCTGATAGTTGTCGAGGAGTTTCGATGTAGTTGGCGTGTATTCGTTGCGGAAGGTGCTCGACGTGTACTCTTGAGGTTGATTTGGAGATTGATGTTGGGATTGACGTTGAATGTTGTGATGAGGAACTGAAAGCGATTAAACGTTTTTTGAAAACTTTAATTCAATTCGATTCGAAATGAAATCATAGTGTTACTTCCAACCCACTGAGTGAGGACCAAGCAAGTTTATAAATAACCAAAAATATATTGTGAGAATGTGTTTCTATGAAATGCGGCACGCGAATGTATGAAAAATTGGGTCAAATTCCGATTTTGTCAACTTGAACAAATAACTCTGCTTTTATTTTCTATACGGTGAAACCAAACATAATAGATTTGACATGCTAAAAGAAATTTAGATTTTTGCAAAGGATTATTTTGCAAATCATGAACCATCTATATAAAGCTGAGTATACAAATTGAATTGTTTCCATTGATCATGGAATTTGTAGGCAAACATTTATGAATACGATGAGTTACTGACTAATTGGACTTTTCAATAGTTTTTATAGGGTCTTTCATTTAGTCTAAGATCCCAGGGCCCCCAGATGTTACTTATTTTTGAAGTAACGAATTTTACGGTATAGACACTCTAACCGTGTCTATTGTTGCATTTTTATCAACACTTTTATAATATTGTAACAACGACGCATATGCTTTATCGCGCAATTGTCTGTTTGAATAAAATTTCACTCATTTTGATTGAAATAATGCGAATGAGGCACAAATTTCAAACTCAATTGAAGTTCAGATCTTCAGTCATGGACTGACGATAAATGAACACACACGATGCGAATTCAATGAGTTTCGATCGCCTGCAGGTCTGAACCTGTCATAGGACGGTGTGTCTGTGGTGAAAATTGGCCCTAAGGCGGCGCGCCTTGAGGCAACGGCCTGAAGGCGGCCTGTAAATGAATGGGTGCCTTAAGTATGTATGTACGATTTCTTCCACCGGCCATGACTCGGTCAGATGTAAGTACCTACTATATCCACTTAGTAATCCTACTTTTAATATTCACAGTAATGAACTAACACCATTTTCGAGTGTTTTCCCTTCAAAAAAATGCTTTTTTTTTGTTAAATCACAATTATTCGTTTAATTGATTATCCTAATTAGAAGCTACAAAAAAAGAGGCATATACAAAGATGCATAAAAATCCTGGTGTTTTAAACAAATTCGCTTTCATTTTGAGAAAAACTCTCTACCAAGAAATGAGATTGACCCAACTTTGTATACATGTCGATAAATATAGCAAGAAACGAAAATCTGTATCTCGTAACTTATTCAGATCTTTAATTCATATACCATAATGTGAAAAATTATTTCACTCAGTATCAATTTATTTCCAAATGTAAACAACATTGAAAATTGAAGTACCAATTTGACATCGCCCAGCATTGTCACTTTTTACTCATCACCTCTGTGAATGAAAGGCTAGAATCTCTATCATTTCCTCATCATAGAGCCGTAGGTCAAAAGTTTTTGACAAAATATTTCACATGGGGAAGGGGTCCTTGCGATATTTCATGCATCTTGGCATATACACTCTGCTATCCGAGTAGACAATGTTATTATGTATAGCTCTATTGTTCATATAGATTTCGCCATCTAGTTGCGAGAAGACAAAGTATTCACAAATATTGGAAGAATCTTCCCATATAAACTATCCATATACCATTCATTTTATTGGAAAAGTAACTAGTGAATAAAACAACTGGTTGAAAACACAAAAGCTTCCTACAAGAATATTTAAATTTTTGATAAATGTTACCTTTGTATGTCACGTCCTAGGGTTTCAGTTTTGTGGAGTGAGAACAGAACTGTTCCAGTATCTCTAGAGAGATGGCGCATCGGATTAAGCTAATATTCACAATATTTGGTAGAATTCGCCTCAAAATTCACAATTTCAATTCATTGCTTTGGTGTGTGATTAATGGAACAACTGATTGATAATATCACAGAAGAAACAGAAGGTTTGAAACATATCCTTCTCTAAAGTATGTCATTAAAACGATCATTAGTGTCTATGTATATATTTCATTTGTTTTCTAATTTTTCAATTCAATTGGGACTTCCTGACGTCTCCATTAATTATTATATGCAACTCTTCTTCAGACTTCCAGCCGATACTAGATACTCAGATTCATGAGGTTCTCCAAAGTTTTTTCCGAAATTTTCAAAATTATCAAAATATTGTTCTCATCATTACAATTATTGTAACAAAATCAACATAATCAGTGTTTTACATACTTTATTCAACTTAATATATTAATTTATGAGTAATTTATAACAAGTTGTATATTCAATAATTACAAAAACACCTTTCGAGCTCGTTTAAAATTATACAAAACCATTACAAAGTTCAAATTCATTCTCTATCGAAAATCAATTTTATTAGAAAAATATTTACAAACAACGTTTCGGTTTTTCCTTTGTACAAATTAACTTTTCATCGTCGAAGAACGTGTTTAAATCACAAACGAATTTCATGTCAATTAACTGATTCTTATTGTAACCTTTCGTACAATAATGGAACAGCCTACAGTCTCTTGAATCAGGATAGAACTTTTCCAACTCTTTTCCAAAACAGTTGAAAAAGAAGTACTTCCTAATTGTCGTTTTTCGAGAAAATGGAGTAGTAACTATAGTTCTTTCCGCTTGAGTCGGATGAACACTTCTCATCAATGGATACTCAGTTAACAAATCACCCTTAGTACCCCTCAGACTTGTAGCCATTTTTTTACTCTGCCTAGACAAGGACTCTATGTGTTTATCTTTGATTATCGGTTTTCGAGGTACTTGTTTTCTTATTGAATGGTCACTACTGAACCGGTGTCTAGGTCTCTGGTAACTATGACCTTTTCTATTTGGTCTGCTAGGATAGGTCCGCAAAGTGGTAGTTTGCTTTGTAGTGACAGGGGCAAGTGTGGTTTGCTCTAGAGTAGTTTGTATCTGACTATACTCTTCATGTAGTGTTGTTGGTTCAACCGCTGATATAGCGGTGGATATCTCTGGAAATTTGGTTTCAGTAATCATAGACGTTTCAGATATTTCAGTGGTTGGAATGAAAGTTTCCGTTGTATTCTCTTTCAAATTCGCTTTATCTTCTGTAACTGTATATACAATCTCTGTAGAGCTTTCAGGAGAACTACTTACATTAACTTTCACTGTGGTATGAGTGACAATTTCAGAGGTCTCCTGTATTTTATGAGATGTACTGGTTGTGAAATCTATCTCGGTGCTAGTTTCTTCTGGAGAACTGTTTTCCAACTTTTCTTCAACTACTATACTCAGCAGATTCATGGCCTTTGATATTGTAGGTATTGACTCATTTCGAATGAGACTAGTCTCTTCGATAATTTCTTTTGAACTACTTCTGGTGGAAGGTGATTTTTCATTCACATTATTCGTAGTGGATAAATGACTGAAGTAGCTACCAGTAGTACTTTCTATCTCTTCAACCAATTCTTCATAATATTTCTCAGTTGTGGCAAGGCTCGCAGGAAGAGTGGTTTCTTCCCTGAATTCTTCAGTAACATCAGTAACTCTGATTGTATTCACATCCAAATTCGACTCAGTGGTGATAGTCAGTTCCGAATTCAAAAGATTGTCTTTCAGTTGCTTCTTCTTAGTAATATGAATGGACTCTGTGGTAGGTACAAACGATGTAGCATAAATATCTTCTATTCTTTCAGAAAGTAAAACAGGTTCATTACCATAAACACTAGTAGATGTAGGACTTTCTTCCATTTCTACAGAGTTATCACTCAATGATTCAGTTGCCGGAGAGTCCGAAGTAGTTATCACATCAATTTGATCGATGATAGATAAAGGAGTTGTTCGAGAAATGTCAATAACAGTAGATTGATGGTCTAGATCTAATACTGGGGAATGAAACTTGGCTCTACCTCTACTCCTGTTAGTAGTTTTAATCCGATCAGTGCTGGTTTCTAATGATTTCGAATGGAGATCAGTGAATTTCGAAGTCGAATATTTATTACCATTCAACTTATTCTGTGCCAGTATTTCTGCTTGTCCATGATTCTGTGGAGATATATCATTTTTATTATCTGTTTTCAAAGTATTTCTATTTCTACTCCTAGTTGTTTTAAGTTGATCCGTGGTGGTGGCAATCGATTCCAAATATGGTTCTGTAATTTGACTGGTCATGTGTTCAGCCTGATCTGAATTGTTTCTAGAAAAAGTTAGTCTGTGGTTTTGTGAAGATATTCCATTTCCACTTTCTGATCTTTCGGTGGTTTTAACTCTACTCCTTCTAGTTGTTTTTGGATGATTAGTGACAGTTTCAATTGATTCCCAATATGGCTCAGTTACTTCATCAGTTATGTGTTCAGTATTTTCTGAATTGATTTGAAAATGGTTCTGTGAAGCTATGCTTTTCTCATATTTTGCTTTTTCAGTTGTCAATTTTCGACCCTTTCTGGTTGTTTCTAGATTGATGGTAGTTTCAGATGGTTCCAAATATGACTCAGTAATTTCATTTGATATGTATTGAGCTTGGTTTGAATAATATTGAGATGAATCAGTGGCACTTTGTTTCTGTGAAAATACATCATTTTCAATTTCAGCTTTTTCAGTATTTTCCTTTCCAGTTGTTTCTAATTGATTCGTGGTGGTTTCAATCGATGCTAAAGAACTTTCAGTAATTTCACTGGTAAAGTAGTCATCTTCTTCTGATTTATTGAAAGATAATATTTCTACCTGCCCATTATTCTTTGCAGATATGGGATTTTCACTTCCCACTCTTTCAGTCAGTCTACCTCTACTCCTTCTAGATTGTATTGAGTGATCAGTGGTTATTTCAATAGATTCTGAAGAGGGTTCAATGAAAGTGTCAGCTTTGTCTGATTCATTTGATAATATTTTGGGTGTCTCTTGATTTTTGGAATTAACAATTCCACTTGCTGCTTTTTCAGTGGTTCTAGTTCTACCTCTACCTAGTTTGGTTGTTTTTAGTTGCTCAGTGGTGATTTCGAACGATGCTAAAGTAGATTCAGTAACTTGACTTGGTAAATAATCAGTTACCTTTGATTGGTTCAGTTTGAAATGTTCATGATTTTGTGAAAGAATACCAGTATCCATCCTTTCAACTGGCATAGGTACTTGAGAAGTTCCAGACGTCGAGTAATTCTTTTTTGACAGTAGATTTTTGTGAAGATCACCACTGGATCCATTATTCTCAGAAGGGTTCGTAATGATCTCCACACTACCTAAATAAGTAATTTGGGAACCAGGATGATATTCTTTAGTTTCCGTTGATTTCATAGGCTTCCTCCTTCTACTAGCTTTTTTTCTGGTGGGTTCTATATAGTTTCTCTGTTTGCCTCTTCTTCGCTTCTTACTGATGCTAGTTTCTGTAGTTGATGAGGATGTCAGGAAAATATTTGATGTTTCGTTTTCTACTTTGTTGTAACTATCTTCAGTATGTGGCACAAATATTTCTTTTGAGGAACTTTTGGTATCTGCTAAAGGTTCGGTTATTGTAGGAATCAATTCTATGATTTTATCCTTCATCAGTTCATCGTTAGTGCTACCTGATGATATTGCTATATTTCCATTCTGAGATTCAGTGAAGCTAGATCCATCTAGTCCCTCCCCAGTAGTTGTGGTATGCAGATGTACAGTTCGTAAATAATCATAATCGTCTTTAGCTCTAAATGGCTTTTCTATGAGTTTCTCTATAAGTACTTTTTTGAAATCGGTTTCTTTATCTTTCCCTTCCGCAGTCTGATATTTCCTTCTGCCTCTTCTCCGATTATTTCTTTCCCTTCTCGTGGTAGTCGTAGGAACCTCCGTAGTAAATGTGACTTCAAATTCATCTGAACTTATCGTTGAAGGAAGATTTATGACTTCAGTGGTTTGACTTGGGATTTCACTCGTAGTTGCGTTGTCGGTATGCAAAATATTAACATTATTATAATCCTCTGGAGTTGTTTGTTCTTCGGGATACTCCATAGTTGTTATCTCTAGATCACGATGCTCGGTGAAGCTCAGAGTTATAGAAGATGATCCTCCTGAAGTCAATTCATTATATGAATTGACTTCTGATACATTTTGTTTTTCTGTGGTGAACTCTACCGTTTTGATTTCCTCTTTTGCCTCTACTATTTCGTCTGAAGAACTTTTTTCGATTTCACTTGGTTTGTTCCTTTCTTTGTAATATATTGGTTCTATGTTGTCATCTACATAATCATTCGGCAATGAATGATAGTGTGTGTTGTTTGCATTTCCTCTCTTGAATGTGGGGGGCAACTGATCATTAATGTCCTCTCTTTCCCTTTCTTCTTTGAAGTCACGTTCGTAATCTGAGGAATATTTGTCGTTTTCATAATCATGTCGATGAAAATTTTTGTCGAATTTATCTTCTTCACTGAAGTCATGCCCATAGTTTACCGAAGATTCTTTTTCATTGGAGTATTCGGGTTTATGGTTCTTCTTTTGCAAACCTTTACTAAAATCATGTCCGAAGTACTTCGAATATTCCTTTTCATTTTCATATTTATTATTGTATGCAACCGGTTCAAAATTATCATTGATATAATCCTCCTCGTGTTGAAAAATTTCGTCTCCATTTTCTGGGTCATCGGACTGATGTATCGTAAATTCCTCGTTGACATTGTTTATTTTCTTCACTTCCTGATGATTGACAGATACACCACCATTTCCCACTATACTATATTTACTTTTTTCATTAAAAACGTCGCTTGATTTCAATTTGAAATCAATGTTTTCATTCCCTTTGCTATTTTCATCATCTTGACTATCAGGGGATAACCCATCATTAATGGAAACGATTCCTTGTCTATTCAGGGGTGCACTTATTGGAGTTGTGGTTCTCGCGGGGTTGGTTTTTTCATTCTTATACCAATCGAAAATGAACTTGAGAACATGTATAGCATCATCATCGTTCTTTATTATATCGGAATGTTTCCAATCAGTCCTCTCACTTCTTCTTCTCCGGGATTTAGTAACGCTTCTTCTCTTTCTGGAATGCTTCACTTTCTGGACGTCATGATAGAACGGATCCAATTGAACGTCTTCGTCTTTGTATTCATCGTAGGAAGAAGGGGGCGTTTTGAAAAGCGGAGCGGTTCCTATAGTTCCAAGTGAGTAGTTCAGTCTTCTTCCGCTAGCATCGCTGACGCTTGCGCTTGCACTGATTACAATGCGCGGAGGAGGGTAGTGGTCCTTCGTGTATCTGAAAAATAATTCAATCACTTTGAATTCGGAAAACTTTTTCAGATTTCGACTGTTATTATTACTTTGAAAAAGTTGTAACGATGTAAATAAATGAATGGATTCATATACAATACTTCAAAAGTTTGGTATTTGAATGTTCTCATTTATTTACATTGTGACAAGTTTCCTGAAGTGGAAGTGAAAAATATAATGTAAAAGTTTATTGTATCCACCATATTACATTTTAATAAACTCAACTGTATCTATTACACAAAAAAACAAATTGAGTTTCTTTGTTCTATTATTATCTACTAATTAGGCACCATAGGAAAGGGATGAAAAGAGCTTCTATGAGTTTCAATATGAAATTTATAGTTTTTTCAGTTTTCATATTATTAGTGAAAGTTTCAGAATTGGATTCAAAAAATATAAATTATTTTCTCAATATTGAAGCTCACGGTATATCTCTTTTGAAACTCTCCCTATTCTTTCCATTCCTAGAAATTGAAACACTACGAACTAAACTCTGCGCAACGTTAGATTCAGAGTATTAAATTTTCCGATTCTGAAAATTTCTTTCTATCCAGTAGAATGAAATGAACGTTCCTAATACCCAGCTCTCAAATTCATGTGAACAAAAATCCTCAGAAGTAGAAAGATGTGCGAGGTTGAAAATCAACGAGGTCTTTCAAGGTGTGATTCCTAGCACTGAAGTGAAATTCAAACTATTACAGTCTCTGAATTCATATCGAAAAGTCTTTTTTGTGAAAATTTTGTCATCCTGGCAATCGGAAGTTTCTATGAAGTTGAAAAAGACACGCTAACTAAGTGATCATTATTGAACCCAAACAAAGCGTTTTCGTTATTTGTGGAGCTTTTCAATGACTTGTATGAAGAGATATTACCAGGTTCATTTTGAAGATACAAAGAAACAATTTTAAGTGAAATATTCAATTGTACATTCTGGCATGTCAACTCAATCTTGTGAAGTTATAGTCATCTAAATGTAATGAACTCTCATTTTTCGTTTGTTTGAACAAAATATAACAGTTAAACACCAGTAGTTGCTGAGACTGAAGCTACAGATGAAATAAATGAAAATCAACTTAGCTTTTGGAAAAAAAGATGATCTTAGGTGACATCTAAGGAGTCCAAGAAGATTACCATAGAGTTACCAGGAGTCCAACAAACCTCTACATCGATAAGGAGCTGATACGCAGTGACTTTGCTCCCAAGAGTTCATTAATCGGCGTGTAGATCTCTATGCTTCACTTAGACAAGAAACAATAGTGTGAATCATCACGATGGAATAAGCAGGAATCAAATTCGAATATTTTGGCATCAATACTCGAGTTGATTCAACACAATTCTGATAGTAAAGCAGACTTGATCTTGATATTGTCCTTCAACATTCCATTTATTCAATTCATTACAAGGACTGAACCTTGCAGAACTCTCGATATTATAGTCCGAGTATCTGGCTCAGATTATCAAGTTATAGTTCAACAATATTGCTTATCAACCAAAAAAATTCATCACACTACTGTAGAACAAAATTAGGTTCACACATTCTAGCAACTAAGCAATGTGGCCATTTTCTTTGATAACTACATGAGAGGCATGAACAAGCATAAACATTCGCTGTGGCTGGAAATGTAATAGGTAATTATATACTACCTATGTTTATATTCTCACGTAAACAATTTCAAAAGAATTTTATTCGCTACTTCCCGACTGGTTCAATCGGAACAGCTAACGGATCAGATTGAATGCAAGATGATGCTTTTCTAATTTTCCTTGAACATTTTGGAAATCCTGTTAGGCCATCTAAAGGGCAAATAGTTCTGTTGCTCCTAGACATTCATGCTTCACATACATCTCTAAAGTGTGGGATAATGTTCACACAGCGTGTGACAATTGGATGCGAATCAATGCCGGAAAAGTCATGACCATATATAATATATCGTCAATAGCACTGTCTGCATTCAATGTAGCAATCACTGAAGGAAATATCAGTGCTGATTTTGCTGCAACTGGAACATTACCAGATAGCACAGGCATATTTTGAAAAGACGATTGGCTGCCAAGTCAGGTCACTGATGGTCCCAATACAGTACTAAAGCAATCTGTTTCAGAAATTGTGGACGATCCAGCAGAAAGCACCACAAACCCAAGTCTCAAAATCAACATAATTGATAATGATGAATGAAGAGCCATTATTCCAGCTGAATCTGCAAATCAGACTATGCCATCCAGAAATTCATCAATTGTAAACAATGTCAATGAAGCTGTTGTTTCCACGTCTACAGCTCACATCCCAGTTCTGAAGATTCTGCAGTCCAGAATCCTCTCGCCACTGTTTCTAATGTATTTTCAACAAAATCAGTAAAGCCGTTGCCAAAAGCTACGCCAAGATGAAAACCATTTCATCTCAGATTGCTCCATATGTAAATTTTCATTTGCCCTTTTTCAACGTTTTTTTTTGTGTGAATCGATGATAAGGCAACAGGGCAATAAGTTATAAACATAGAAGAAGAATTTTATCATGTTTGAAATGCATTCTCTAATAAATATTACCTCTGAAAAAATGGTCAAGGCTGTCGCGGCCGAGGTTTTCAGTGTCACTATTTTTGTGGGGCGTCACTCGCGTCAGCGAAACGTCAGGAAAAATATCCAAAAATAACGGCCTTCAAACCAGAAAACTAGTGACACTGAGCCGTCTTCATTTTATGGCATATCTAATAGCAGATATGAAACATTTTCTAAATATCAGCAATTTTAAATTGTGGAACGCACCTTTTTGTCTCTATACGATGCTGTAGGGAAAATGGTGCTGGAGAACTGAATGTCAGAGGTGGCAGAGTTGGCAAAAGAGGTAGAGGTAGCTGCATTCTCTGTGGCGGCTTCTCACTCTGAATATGGCTGTATTGGCTCTGCTGGTCCAGCGCAGGGGGTTTCAGAGACTGGATGAAGTAATTCCTGGCTGTCGTCGATGATCGAGGCTGATAGTTGTCAAGGAGTTTCGATGTAGTTGGCGTGTATTCGTTGCGGAAGGTGCTCGACGTGTACTGCTGAGGTTGATTTGGAGATTGACGTTGAATGTTGTGATGAGGAACTGAAAGTGATAAAAAGTTTTTTGAAAACTTTAATTCAATTCGATTCGAAATGAAATCATAGTGTTACTTCCAACCCACTGAAAGAAGACCAAGCAAGTTTATAAATAACCAAAAATATATTGTGAGAATGTCTTTCTATGATATGCGACACGCGAATGTATGAAAAATTGGGTCAAATTCCGATTTTGTCAACTTAAATAAATAAAACTGCTTTTATTTTCTACATGTTGAAACCAAACATAATAAATTTGACATGATAAAAGAAATATAGCTTTTTGCAAGTGTGGTAATGTTCACAAGTTATTTGGGATTTTGAAAACGGAAAAGGATTATTTTTCAAATCACGAACCATCTAAATAAAGCTAAGTATACAAATTGAATTGGTTCCATTGATTATGGAATTTGTAGGCAAACATTTATGAATACGATGAGTTACTGACTAATTGGACTTTTCAATAGTTTTTATAGGGTCTTTCATTGATTCTTTCTTCGAATTTAAATGTGTGTGAGATATCATCGAAATGTTTCATTCGTTTGAAAGACCTATTGATGTCATTATGTGTGGATTATGTTATCTTTCAAATGTCCGCCACGGCTTCTCTGTGTGGAGCGCATCCGAAACGTCCAATTTTCCATTACTTTGACGCATATATCAGGCTGAATTTGACTGATGGCGTGGGTTATGTTGGCTTTAAGACCGCTGTGGTTTGTGGCTTATTCGCATACACCTTCGACTTGAGAAAACCTCACGAGAAAAAGTCTAAGGTCAAATCTCACGATCTCGGTGGCCAATTCACATCACCTTCACGTGAGATGAGCATGCCTTCAAATCGCTCGTGCAGAATATCCAATGTGGCATGAGCTGTGTGGCACGTAACGCCGTCCTGTTGAAAGCCCATGTCGTTGGTATCCAAATCATACAATTCAGGCCAAAAGACCTATATTGCTCGCCGTTGACAGTGTCGTTCTCAAAGAAATTTGAACCAATGCATTGGACGTTCTTGAATCACATGTGGATTGGTATTGTACCAAATACGAGAATTTTATTTGTTCACGTAATCATTCATCCAGAAATGGGCCCCATCACTGAAGATAATTTATGGATGGGAATTACGGTCAGTTGGTCCAGCAAACACATTCAGCGAACACACGTCGTCGTCTATGGTCGTTTACCTTCAATTCTTTGGTCAGTTGAATTTTGTACGGGTGCAGGCCCAAGTCATGACGCAAAATTTGCCAAGTTTTGTCGAGGTACGGGTGTTGACCGATCGTTTACTGAACCAGTGGACTCAAATCCATTCACCATATTGCGAATAGTCCAATTTGAGAAATTTAGCTTCAACAAGATGGCCGTTATCAATTGTCAAAGTTAGGAAATCCTTGTAGAAAAACCCTTTATTAAGCATTAACTTGGGTCTGACCCCTCTGGACCTGTACGTTAAGGAGGTTGCGTTAATGGCCATGTTACGATTGCGCACGGCTGGTGTAAACCTCGAGGTAGGAATGGGTCAATTGAGGCTGGGCCTATGGCGAGAAGCGCTTACTGCGCAACATCTGCTGCAGGCAACCAGTGATGCAATTGAACCCAGGTTTGTGTTTAGTAAATCCTACAAAATACAAATAAAACAGAACACAGAGTCAGATGCTACAAATGCAATACGCATATATGCTGACGGCTCAAAAACCAAAGAAGGCTCAGGATGTGGAGTCCACTTCAGATCACTAAGCCGCCTAAGGATTAAGTGGGAAATGAGAAAAAATATCAGCATGATCCAAACAGAACTGGATGGTATCTCAATTGCCACAAAAGAAATGATCAGGAAAGGAATTTCTGAAAAAATATAACGATCTGCACTGATAGCAGACAAGCCCTATTAGCATTGAACAGACAGCGTGTAACATCAGGGCTAGTACTAGAGTGTCACCAAGATTTAGCCAAAGCCTGGGTAGATAATAACATTATCCTGAGGTGGGTTGAAGGGAACGACAGGAGTAAAATTAATCGCATTGCCGACTCTTTAGCCAAGGAAGCGGCTGGAGTAAGAATTTTAGGATCCAGTGGCACCTACGGCCTGACGACTTCGACAATTGTGGAACTAGCCATGCTCAATCCCTAAAGAGATGAGATGGAATCAAAGGATACAATCTTGCCAGGATCACCTTGGGCGACCTTGGGAAGCTGGCGCCGAAGAAATATCTGGCGATGACCAGGAAAAATCTTAGCTTAACTGTAGGATTTCTGACTGGCCACTGTCAACTAAGGAACCACCTCCATAATATGGGGCTAGTGAACACACCTCTATGCAGGATGTGTGAACAGGAAGATGAGACTGTCAGGCATGTCCTATGTGAGTGCCCCGAGTTATCGTTAATAAAAAAGTGTGTATTCGGCGAGTCTTGGTCTACACCTGCCTATATAAAGAAGATGTCTCCCAGTGACCTGTCCACCTGGAAAGGACAGGATGGACGACGACCTAGGAGGACAACTCCTCGGGAGGATGTACAATGGGTCACATGTGGTCTAAGTGCTATGGGCTTACACTCACCCTCCCTCTACAGATACAGAAGCATTAACTTTTCGGAGTGAACTTTTTTTACCCTTTATTACACTTCAGCATATTTTCTATTCATTAAGCTTCATTTATTTTTTAAATTCTGGAAAGTTATACATCCAAGAAACAGTAGGAAACAAAAAATACTTTGTAACTCTTTAAGAGTTGATAATTTGAAAAATGTCTTAATAATGTCTATTGATAAATTTGAGAAAATTATGAAGTTATTTTGGAATACAGTATTGTGAATTGAGAAGGTTCTCCTTTTGTAAAAAAATTTTTGCTCAAGACTTTTTCGCACTAATGTATTTTTAAACAATTTTTGCAAGTAGATTGTATTGCAACATTATGTTTGCTGAATTTAAAAAAAACACCAAAGCTTAAGATTTATTGAAAGAGTTAGTACACACCTGAATACTCTTGACTAGGCCTGAATTCGGTTTGGTAATGGTAGCCCTCTCCATCCGCATCTTCGGTGCGATAGTCTTCTAAATCCGCATTCTTGAATGTGAATCCATAATTTATATCTCCAGGCGTTGCCTGGTTATAACCCGACAGTGATTTTTTAGTGTTCGCTTCGCGATCTACGTCCCCGTATTCCGAACGATGTGAAGTCACTACCGATCGGTGCGTAGTCACTCCCACTTTTTTCTCACTGTTGGTCACTTTTTTGTCACTGTAGAACGAATGCGGGTTTGTCCTTATGTCGGGCGGCGCTCCCGGGTGCAAACTGATGTTGATCTCCTCCGGGTTGAAACGTATATCCGGGGAATTCGTATCGATTAGGGGAAAGTGGTGGGCTGATAACAGTTGCTGGGTGCTCCCTCCGGTAGTCGGGGAGGTGACGGTGGTGTAGTAGTTCGTGCGGGTGGTTTTGCTAGTTGACTCCGTCGTTGTCGTTGTCGGTAGGGTCGATTTGATTATTAGGGGCTGTTCAGTCTCAGAAATTTCTGGAAAACGAACAGTAACTATTGGAAGTAACCGCAAAAAATATAGACTTCAAGAACTAATATTAATTCACCATAAAGAAAATATCAAGAATAGAAATACGAAACATAGTATTACCAGGAAAACTAATTCTAAAAAACTATTTTAGAGTACTTACAGGTGAACAAAGTGAACTTTCACACTACCTTGAATTTCAAAGAAAGCATTTGTAATGCAAAGGTCGTTTGATGGAGAAGCCACCTATGAGAATGTCAGAAACACAGACCTTGCTCATCCAAGATGGTCCCAAATCGATCTGTCACTGGGCCAAGCTGCAGGTTTTCATATAGACCAACTACAGATCTCGGATCTCCAAAAACAGACTGTTCGTCGCTGATTGGACCTGACACAGTGGCAGTAGTTAAGTCGAGTCACCAATGCCTTGTTGAAATCAATTGTTCTTGGAGAACAAACTTGGGTACAAATAAGCATGGACATCTTTTCTCATAAAGATTCCATCTATGAAATCTCCACCTTTCTTATACAAGATAAACAACAGTCCCACTGATATATGTTTCTGAAGCGCTGAAGCAATCTAAATCGATTGGCAACTACGCATCGCTTCAAGTTTTTCTCTGCAGCGTCCTCACCAAGGCAAATAGATGGGACGAGAGACCAACGACAAAGCAATCATGCTTCAACAACAGAAATGTCTGTTGAGTCCTGCTACAGATGTCAGTGATGCTACGCTGAGCCATGAATGCATTGCTGGACTCAACTATCTTTGAAGAACAATACTGAACAAGAATAGTTGGCATTATTGTAGATAAGTTCAACTTTTTTCAAAGACAACTGGATCCAAGATATCATGCCTGGTTCTCCAGTGACAGGTGGAAACATAGCTTTCTAGTGTTGAATCAAATCACGAATGCTTTATTTTTGGCCTTTAGCTTTTATTTCTCACGTCACTCTGCATCGTTTCTATGCTCACTTATTATTTGTCGAAAGTCTAAAAATAGCATAGTATGGCGTAAGAAGTATTTTCTCCAAAATTCAAGATCGAGTGAAAGTGAAAGATTTGTTGTTTCTGTTTGTTGTTGAAGCTTTGTTTTTAATCGGCCCAACCGAACCTTCCACACTCTGACGATTGTTAAAGGAAATATACCCATTTTCGTCTGAGGTATTATTCAGTTTGCCCTTCATTACACTTCAACAGATTCTCCATAGATTTAGCTTTGTTCATTGTTCAGATTGTGGAAGGTCGGACGTCAAAAATAAAACAACAAGACACGGAATTCCACCATTTCGAAGATAATCACTACAAATTTTATTATGAGACTATTTTTGAAAATAACGTTTAACAGTTGCCGTGAAAGTTTTGTTGAAATTGCTGATGTTTTCTAAGGATACACTGAAGTTTCAAAATTCTAGACTCTTGAAAAAAATCATAAATTGAAAATAAGCGAAGAACTATGAAATCATTTCTTTAAGGTTTGTTGTTGAAATTTAATCACCATATTGATTTCTGATGCTCCAGTTGTAAAGATAAGCATTCGGATTAATTACTAATGATCCTCATAACAACTTTCGTAGCATATGAACAACAACCAATCATAATGAAGTGACCAATAATAGTTAAAATACATGTTTCACTGGTATCAAGTATATGAGGGATTTGAGGGTTTGCAAGTCTATCGAGGGTATACATTTCTATTGATACCTGCGATGCATACAAACTTTTGTCATACTAGTTCGTTATTGCATTCACAATATACAGTGCGTCGTGAATAGTTCCCTTCCCCTCTTAACTTTTGAACAGGCATTTACTTGTAAGGGTATCATTTTTAGTACTTTTTAATAAGAAAGGCGATAGTATTGCATCACCTACTTTTTTAATAAGTGGGGTCTTGTAATGCTTTTTCAAACAAGTATTTCATTATCTATCCTTTCATTTTTGTAGATTGCATCAGCTGGTCCTGAGTAATAACAATTCATATTCGTTTTGAGGATCTGCAAATATAATTCAGAAAACTGGATTCTCAACTCACTCAAGTTAATTCTAGTGAATATCTTCAAAATGCCCATCATTCACTTCCTGACAGTAATGCAGTTTCTATACAAATTCATTTTTTTCACTATGGAATATTTCTGGAGTAATTTCTTCAGGAGCACCCCCTATTCTAAATATGAGCTTCAAAATATACTGCGGTCCCTCAAACATATTTTAGATTTCACGAATTCCAATAAAAATCTAATAGCGTCATATCATGTAATGTAGCAGGCCATTCAAAGGGAGCACTATCCACTGGTTTGGATAATTGTCATCTAGCCGCTTTCAAATCAGCCTAATCTTGCTGAAACGTTGAAAACCCAGACAAGTAGACGTGGTCCTTCAGAAGAGCCCACTGGATCACCTGATATGACGCCTAAATGTTTTAGTGGATTCGTGACATGTGAAGGGTACTGTAGTGCATTTTCAGAACTTGTGGATAGAAAAATAGGTGCTTACCCTCACACCAGGAACATTTCATGATGTAGAAAATAAATTTGTAAAGATCCTTCGTTATTGCCAGGGAGCGAATGGTTGAACATTTCGAATATTTTTTGGAAGAACAGAGGTGAGTTTTGAATACACTTTTTCTTGAAATTATGATATTTATCCTTTTCAGGTCCTTAAAAATATGAAACTTCTAATCATGATGGCGGCCTCTTCTACTATGGTCTTTTTTATCAAAAATGACTGAAAATTACACTTTTTTACGAACATAGAAACAAATTTTGCTAGCTGTCAAACTTGAAAAGTCAATTGCAAGAGTGTTATGATGTTATTGCGAAAAGATGGAAAGAGCAACACAAAACTTGCCGTCGAAAACATTGACAGATGATATGATACAATGAACTGCAGAGAATTCATTAGTGAAATTGTGCTGCTTGGATACTTTGGAGATCTTGCCGAAACATTCTCCTCGAATTCATTATATTATAAATATTCAATGGTCTATAAGACTTCAATGGTAAATCATCATCGCTAATTATTATGAGAAGAGCTAACATCCAAAGTTCTAAATTATGAATGGACTGACCTTTTACTTGATGACAATTAATATCACTAAGCATGATAATAATTACATACTTTTCACAATCATTTTTATTTATAGACGCGTTTCGATAACACCGTAGATCTCTCGGTAGAAAAGGAATCTACCGATGATTTTAAAGTTCTGTCTAAATATGTTTCAAAATCGTTTCATGAGGCATAACATCAGTCGTTTTCAAAAACACACATTTATTGTTTATGAATCGAAGAGGTTTTTTGTATTAAAGTGTATAATTTTTAAAATTCTTGCAAAGTGCGTTCGACTTTCGTCATCATCAGTAAGTGATGAAAGTAAGTGATGTAATTGAAAAAGAAGTTTGGTGAGAATTGAAGTTGAAAAAAGTTTTTAATCTTCAAGGTTAAGAAATTTGGAAAAATTGTTTAAGATTACTTACTTGATACAGGAAGTATCAAAATAAGTACATGGCACATTTGTAATATTTGACTTATATAAAACAAAATAGGCTTATAGCCAAGAAAATACATTTTCGGATTGAGGCCATGTGGTTCAGTCAAAGTATTATATGAAGAAGNAAATGTATTTTCTTGGCTATAAGCCTATTTTGTTTTATATAAGTCAAATATTACAAATGTGCAATGTACTTAATTTGACACTTCCTGTTGCCTGACAAGTGAGTAATCTTAAACAATTTTTCCAAATTTCTTAACCTTAAAGATTATTAAAAAAAATTTCACAACTTCAATTTTCACTAAACTTCCTTTTCAATTAGATCACTTACTTTCAGGTGAGCACTGATGATGACGAAAGTCGAAAGCGCTTTGCAAGAATTTTAAAAATTATACACTTTAATACAAAAAACCTCTTCGATTCATTAATTCAATTAAGTGTATTCAGTTTTTTCAAATCTACACATTTATTGTATTTCATGGATACCGGTGGCAAGATGAATATGCTAACTATCCACATAGAAGAAAAAATTCTGTTTTGGTGAACGTACCGGAGATGAAAAGCGATAAAAGTGGTGTTGTAATCATTATTGATAATGGCCAAATGAACACTTTCAAGCAGAAAATGAAACATGAATCAAAAACTCAGTTTCAAGTAATCTATCATCCTCCTAGAATTGCAATTTTTATGTGATTTCGACCAATAATTAGTATATATTTGAATAATAGATACTTTACCTTCTAAATTAGAGGGTTGACTATTTCCATATAATTCTAAATTTAAACTATAAAATCGTTCAGATTTTGAACAGTCAACTTCGTCTATCCTTTCGCAGACTCGAGTTTCCTAAAAATAAAATGGAAAAAGTCATTATTGTAAAAACTCTATAGTA